TTTTGATGCTTTCTGCATCATTTAATATTTTCGCCGTATAATCCTTCACTACTGCAACTCGAGGCCTGAATTTTTTCTTCAGTTCCTTCAACTTGAGAAATGCCAAGCGTGTTCTTCCCTTTTGGTTTTCTAACTCTAGATCTTTGCACATGTCACTATAATACTTTGTCTTCTCGAGCTGCCCTTTGAAATATTCTGTTAAGCTCTTTTATCTCATCGTTTCTTCCTTTCGCTTTAGCTACTCTATGTTCAAGAGCAAGTTTCATAGTGTCTTCTGACATCCATTTTGATTTTTTCTTTCTTTCTTGTCTTTTTAATGACTTTTTGCTTTCTTCATGTATGATGGCCTTGATGTCATTCCACAACTTGTTTGGTCTTCAGTCATTAGTGTTCAGTGCGTGTTGCTGAAATGCTGGAAGCTGTGCCACTGGTATTCAAATACCATCAGGGTCACCCATGGCGGACAGGTTTCAGCTGAGCTTCCAGACTAAGACAGACTAGGAAGAAGGACCTGGCAGTCTACTTCTGAAAAGAATTAGCAAGTGAAAACCTTATGAATAGCAGTGGAACATTGTCTGATTTAGTGCCAGAAGTTGAGCCCCTCAGGTTGGAACGCATTCAAAATACGACTGGGGAAGAGCTGCCTCCTCAAAGTAGAGTCGACCTTAATGATGTGGATGGAGTCAAGCTTTCGAGACCTTCATTTCCTGATGTGACACGACTCAAAATGAGAAGAAACAGCTGCAAGCATCCATTAATAATCATAACGTGTAATGTACAAAGTATGAATCTAGGAAAACTGGAAATTGTGAAAAATGAAATGGAATGCATACACATTGATATCCTAGGCACTGACAACTTGAAGAGGAATACAATGCATCGTCAAAAAGAAAATTTCAGGATCTGTGCTGAAGTACAACGCTGTCAGTGATAGGATAATATCCATACGCATACAAGGAAGGCCAATTAATACAACTATTATTCAAATTTATGTACCAATCACTAAGGCCAAAGATGAAGAAATTGAAGATTTTTACCAACTTCTGCAGTCTGAAATTGATTGAACATGCAATGAGGTTGCATTGATAATTACTGGTGATTAGAATGGGAAAGTTGGAAACAAAGAAGGACTGGTAGTTGGAAGATATGGCCTTGGTAATAGAAATGATGTCAGAGATCTCATCACAGAATTTTGCAAGGCCAACAACTTCTTCATTGCAAGTACCTTTTTCAGCAATGTAAACAGAGACTATACATGTGGACGTTGCCAGATGGAATACACAGGAATCAAATCGACTACATCTGTGGAAAGAGACGATGGAAAAGCTCAATATCATCAGTCAGAATAAGGCCAGGGGCTGACTGCAGAACAGACCATCAATTGCTCATAATGCAAGTTCAAGTTGAAACTGAAGAAAATTAGAGCAAGTCCATGAGAGCCAAAATTTGACCTTAAGTGTATCCCACCTGAATTTAGAGACCACTTCAAGAATAGATTTGATGCATTGGCACATAGTAGAGGTTCAATACGTATTTTTGAATGAATGAGTGAATAAAACATTTGAAACAGGCAAGCTAGACCCAGAGCCCTTGCAGTCTAAGAACTTACAGAATACAGTGCTGTGGCATTTCAGAATATGTTATGTTGTGGACCAAGCAACATCCGTCTTTATTGGAGGAGAATTCCTAGAATTATATCCTCCGTTTTGGGGAATCTGTTCATGTGTGTACATTGCTTAAGAAGTAAAGGAATACTTTTTCCTTAAATGACTTTTAGTCCATTATCTCTTTTCTGTGTTTGGCCATAAAAATATGCAGCAGTACATAACACCACACAGTTTATATAGCACTTTCACATCTAGGACACCCCTGTATCCTTAAACCATTCTTGTGAGGTAGATAGCACACACCATCATTGTTAATATCCCCATTATTCACTGGGTCAGAATTTAAGTACAGTGCTCAAGGCTGCATAGCTAGGAGGTAGCAGAACTGGATCTTCTGTTTTCACTTTCCTGCCCTTTCTACCATGTTTTTTTTTTTTTTTTTTTTGCCTTGATGCCTGCCGTGGTCTCTCCTTCCTTCAGCGGAGTGTGAGAATGATGCTCTTTAGGTTAGTGCGTCCAGACCTCCAAACCTGTTCAGCCTAGAGTGCGAGGCCTTCACTATTGAGCACAGACACCTAGGAAAAAAGAGGAAAGTGAATACAGTGTCTGCCTCCAGACTCACTCTTATTCATTCTTACACCACTGCAAGAGGAGACTTTACAAATGCAAACACCTCTAACCCACAAGACACATTCCAGACAGGGCCTTCCTTGAAGTTGCCTAGCCACATCTTTCTGCCTCTGATCTTTGTATATTTCTGCCATATGAGGCTTCTTTCTGTTCCTCAGGTATTCCTTGCTCACCCATGCTCTCATCTCCAGACCACCTCACATGCTGGTGCCTCTGCCAGGACACTTCCCTTCTTCATCCTCTCTTTCCAAGGGCTGTAACATCCAGGAAATGACAACATAAAGTTAGGTCCTGTGGTATCCTATACTTTTTTATTTTAGCCCTCATACTATTTTATTATAATTAATTGTCTTATTTTCTGACTTCCTCACTAGACAGACTTTACCCTGTTGTCTTAGTCATCTAGTACTGCTATAACAGAAATACCACAAGTGAATGGCTTTAACAAACAGAAGCTTATTCTTTCACAGTCTAGTAGGCTAGAAGTCCGAATTCAGGGTGCCAGCTCCACAGGGAGGCTTTCTCTCTCTGTTGGCTCTGGAGGAAGGTCCCCGTCATCAGTCTTCCTCCGTTCTAGGAGGTTTTCGGCACAGGAACCCAGGGTCCAAAGGGCACACTCTGTTCCCGGCGCTGTTTTCTTGGTGGCATGAGGCCCCCCTGTCTCTCTGCTCACTTCTCTCTTTTACATCTCAAAAGAGATTGACTCAAGATACAAACTAATCTTGTAGATTGAGTTCTGCCTCATTAACATAACTGCTGCTAATCCTGCCTCATTAACATCATAGAGATTGGATTCACAACACATAGGAAAATCATATCAGATGACAGCATGGTAGACAATCATACAATACTGAGGATCATGGCCTAGCCAAGTTGACACACTTTTTCAGGGATACTCTTCAATCCATATCACCTGTGAAGATGAGGCCCATATCAGTCTTGTTCCTTTAGATCTCCAGCGTTTAGCACGATGCCTGCAAGAAGTTGTTGCTGTGGTTAGGTGCTGTTGAGTGGATTCCGACTCATAGGGACCCTATGGGACAGAGTAGAACTGCCGCATAGGGTTTTCAAGGCTGTAATCTTTACAGAAGCAGACCACAGTGTCTTTCTCCCACGGAGCAGCTGGCAGGTTTGAACTGCTGACCTTTCGATTAGCAGTTGAGCGCTTAACCACTGCGCCACCAGAGCTCCTTCCTACAAGTAGGCACCAAAAAATAGTCACCAACTCAGTTGCCTCAAAAACCAGGTGAATGCTTGGCTGATAAAAGAACAGGTAGTAGAGAGGGCAATTTACAGGAAAACAGTATGGTATGGGCTACATCCTGTTTTTGTTTTGCTTTGCTTTCCTTCTCTTCAGATTCAGTTATGGCCTAGCAGTTTGGGAGGGAAATATGGAGAAGCTGCAGTTACTCGTTTGCCAGTCTTATGCTTCTCTTTGAAGTTTACCTACTGTTGCCGTGTGTACCTGAACAATTATATGAGCGATACATGGTAACCTAGCAGAAACTATACTGCTCATCACAAACGGTTGGATGTCCAGCCATCTGGCCCACATGTTGGCTTTGTTTGGTTTTCACAATGTAGGGTCGACAATACTTTAACTTTTCTTTGAGACATTGGTCAACATTTTTAAAAACCAGCAATTTCACATTAAAATTCTGGGACTGCACTTTCCCTCTGGCAGCCATCACCTAGAGCCTGGGCCCTGCTGTCCCTTTTGGAAAGGGCGTATGCTTTTTCCATTTGCTGCATTCATACAGCTCCTACTGATTTCCTGAACTCTGAAGCTGAAGATCATTGTTATGCAATTTTATTTTTTCATATTAGATTAAGAAATACATCTTGTACTCATGTTGGAAAAGGGAAATATTAAGCAGGTTGGTATTTCAAAAACAGTTGGAGAATATATTTCTTTGTGGAAGTGATGAGTAGCGCCATAGGTTTAACATGTGAAACATGTCTGTGTTGAAAGAATACAACTTAAAATCCCATTATGAAACACACCTGATCCACTTAGTCATTTATGTTTCTTGTTTGGCCCTAGCAGGTCTTTGAGTTTGTGACCTTTGAGCTAGTCTATTATCAATATTGTTTCTAATTTTAAATCATAGCCCACAACTTCGACTTTCCAGAAGAGAAGCAACCATCGTTTTTTTTGTTGTTGTCACAATCATTGTTTTTCATGTTTGGAATTAGTTTGGGTTAGTTTGAAGTAAGCTCTATATCTGATGAAATGTGGAAGTGGGTGGCCAACATCTGTTGAAGTCTTTCCTGCATTATCTTCTGGAGCTACTAGAGAGAGCATATGATATAACTGAAAGCTCACACTAATCTCAGTTGTTGTCCTCATTTTGATATTAATTTTAGATCTTGGACAAAGCACTAAAACATTTGGGATTTCAGCTTCCTCATATGAAAAGTGAGGAGATTGGATTTGATCAACATCTTAAACTATACCACTCTACCATGCGCTTAAGAGCACTGAAAAAATAAGCAATGAGTGAACTCACATATACAACTTGAACCAATCTATAGAGAACTGGTCTTTCTTAGGAATTCAGAGTGTTAGGATGCTAACTTTCCTTTTTTGAATTTTGTGATTCCATAAGCAAAAGAGGTAAATTCACTGGCTCAAGATCTCATGGCAGAATCTCTCTTATCTCCAGTACGCAAGTTCTCAGAACCTGACCTCACTGTCTCTTGACAGCCTGCCAATCTAACTGTGCTCTCTATCATTCATTCAATTGTTTCATCCCTTTTCAGACAGATATTTATGGCCTGGCAAAGAAGTGTAACTTGACAGAGCGCCAGGTTGAAAGATGGTTTAGGAGTCGACGGAATCAAGAGAGGCCTTGCAGGATAAAGAAGTTCCAGGAAGCTTGGTAAGGAGAGTCAAAGCCCTTGAAATGCTATTATTTTATAGGGAGCAGAATGGTCATCTCAGAAAGAATACTGAAGTTGGAACAGAAGAAGGGTTCACACCCAGCTCTGTCACTTATCAGTAGCATGTTTTAGGCTAGTCACTCATTTACTCTCTGGGTTTCCATTTCCTTCTCTATAAAATGGGGATAATAGTGCCTCCTTTACCTACCCCTTAGCATTCTTGTAAAATGAGAAAATCCATGGAAAGTGCTTTGCAAGCTATGAACTCCCTAAAATGAACGAGAGGTATTCTGTACTTATCCTGAAGTCTAGAAAAATCATAAAAATGTCTTAACTTTATCTTTTTTAGGGTAGAGATTGGCCTCATGTCGTAAGACTTTATCACCTGTTTCCAATCACACTGTAATTATAAGAGCAGAGAATCTTGGAGAGGATGTGTGTTGGATCATTATCCCAGCTCCTCCCTGTGGATTGGGAAGCCAGTTCCTCTTGGTTTCCCAGTTGGTTTAGCAAGAGGATCAGGTTGGGCTGGGGCATCAAATAGGATTGTTACCACAGAACTGTTTTCTTTAAATATATTCTGAGAGCAGTGCAGATGCATTGGATTAATTTTTTGCTTCATTTGAGTTTTGCTTTTTCCCCCTGTAGAATGTTGTAGTACTTTAGGTCACTCTCTTGGTGGCAGAACTGACACCTGTGCAAAAAAAGTGGACTAGGTCATTGCTTTTATTTTGTTTCCCCTTCAGTAAATCAGACAAATGGGTTAGTTGGGTTGTGTTGGATGCTGCATTTCTGCTTTCTGCCTATTTCTTAAGGTCCTCATATTGTCTAGTGACTTTCATCAGATATTTTTATTTTGAGGGTGAAATGAACAGGGAGCTGACGTAAGACTCTCAAATAAACAAACAGAGAGCCTATGGGAATGCTAAGCTTTAAAGACTTCTTTTAATTTACTTATGAGTTTCTGAGTACTAGAAATCCAGTTGTGACACCTGCTGATGTCAGGGTGTCTCGAAACAAACACTAATTTCTCTTTAAAAGCTTCCATTGCCTTTTCCACAGTGGCTTAAGGTATATGGTCTGATTTGTTCTCTGATAGCTTCTGTGTGATTTGTCTGACTTTAAAGACTGGTTAATATTGTGTTGCCACTGATGCCAGCTTGGCAGATTGTATCTCTCTGAACTATTACCAAAAAAAAAAAAAAGGTACAAAGTGGAGCTGATCTCACATTTTAAAAAACAAAAAAGCCCCATTGCTGTCGAGTTGATTTCAACTCCTAGCGACCCTATAGGACAGAATAGAATTGCCCCATAGGATTTCCATGGAATGGCTGGTAGATTTGAACTGTGACTTTTTGGTTAGCAGCCGAACTCTTAACCACTGTGCCACCAGGACTCCGACTCATACATTACATCTCCCTTTTTCCCTGCTGCCATTCATTCTCGAGAGCAAATGGTTCTTATCTTAAGTAAATTCACTGAGAAGGGACTAATTCTCTGAGTGAATCATATTCCAGTGAAATTCTCTGATAATCTCTTATACGTTATCATGCTTTACTGTTTATAAATAATGTTTGTTTGATCCTCCCACCAACAGTGTGAGGCAGTCAGGAAACATGGGGTTAGCCCCATTTAAGAAATGAGAAACTACACATCCATCTAGTTTAAAAGAACATAAGGTCACCTACCTGTTTGAGGGACTGTTGCACTCAAGTCTTCTCACTCTTATTCTGATGCTCTTTCTGCTCCCGTACCTCTTAGCAAGCAGAGAGTCTCCTACGCCAAATAACCATTTGGATCAACAGGGCCCAAACACACGTTTGTGGATCTGCCTGTGTCAGTGAGTCCACTGAAAGTCTGCCACCGAGTGGAAGCAAGAGGAGGAGACGTTGAATTACCCTTACAGTCAGTCAGTCAGTGCAGACAAGCATGTTACGTATCTTCTCTGTACTTAGCACTACCTTAGTTTGTATACAGTTCCAGATTTTAAGAGGGAAGTAAAAGCGTAAGGCATGGTCACAGCCTTACAGAGCTGAGGGAGACCAGACTATCACATATGAAACTATAGTATCTATTGTTATTCCACCCCGATGGCAGATGGGATGTATGCCAGCAGATACATGGCCGTGTTTAGATGTACCATGGGATTCAGAGGAGATGCATTAATATGGCTCGAGAAGTCAGAGAAAGGCTTTTTAGAGGAGATGAGACATGAGCTAGATCTTGAAGAATGGGTTGTTTCCATAAGAAAAGGAAGCAGTGTCTGCGGGCAGCATGTTTCAAGTAAGGCAAAAGCCCAAAGCAAGAAATTGTATAGTATATTCAGGAAACAATACACTCAATACATTTAAATAAAATTTAAGCTCTGCCTTATTCTTTAGCAATGTTGCAAATTTTCTCCAAGTCAGATAACTGTTAAAAGTTATGGAATAAATGGATAGACTAAAGCAAAATGCCAAGCTGTTTAATTATACAAGGACTACCCTTTTTTCCCGTCAGTTACAGACTTCGCTACAGAAATCATAGCACAAAATGTGCACCCCCAGGCTGAGTGTATTGTTTCTTTGGTTACTTCCTTTAATTATGACTCGTGACTCGATGGCATCCAACAACAACAACAACAAAGCCCTGTTTAATGGCATTTCTATCCATAGTGGGTTTTTTTTTCTTAAATCAAATTCATATTAGCTAACCAATTTTCTTTTTAAAATAAACACTTATACCTAGGAATAAGACATTTATTATAACATTACACTGTAGTGTCCAAGAGCCTGAAATGTATAGGCAGCGGTGCTATCCCAGTGGTTATGGGAGGCACTCTGCTGACTGGTGGACTGCCTCCTGGCCTAAGCTGACCTGGCGGCAGGTCCTCTGCCTGCTTCCTCCTGCCTCTCCCACGATGAGCCCACATTTGGTTGTCAGCTTCTTTCACTGCTGGCCCAAGTTCACTCTGTCCAGTTCCTCCCCTGATTGCACCCTGCAGTCCATCTTCCACTTTTACCATGTTAGCCTAACAAGTCATTTTCTCTTTCCTGAAAAATTATTTTTTTTCCGCAGTTATGTTTTGGTAAAAAGGAAGATTTTACTACCTTAGGTTCACTTGCAGCAAGTAAAATGGCATGAACAAGTAAATCAGAATTCATCTTAGTATCAGTGAAGTGCAGCAGTTCTCAAAAAAATTTTGAAGGTCACAAAAAGCTTTTGTCTATGTGTGCTATACATATTGATATTTATTGTGTTATAAATTAAAATCGAGACACTTATAAAACGTGAGACTACACAGACATACATGCATTAGCTATCAGAACAACGATGCAATCACATGTCAGGTAGCCTCTGGAAAATGCCAGTGCCCCCTTGTGAAGGAATGACAGTGAAAAAGACAAATAACATTTTTAGTGTTATTATGAAAATCTTTTTGACCTCATGGACCCCCAGAAAAGGTCTTGGGAACCCTCAGGGATTCCTGGCCCACACTTTGAGAACCATGGGCATAGTGTAATGAAACCTGAGTGGGACTAGTCTTGAAAACGTGCAACTTAGTTTTTACTAATTCTTATTGTACAACCTTGGGTTAGTTATGTGAACTCTCTGAACCTTAGTTTCCTTATTAGTATCCATCTCACCTACTTTTCAGGATTATTGTGAGAATTAAGCAACAATCTGTGAAAAAAAGGATAATTATGGTCCCTACTTCATACGTTGTTGTGAAGATAACACGTGTGGTTCGCAGAGTCAGAAAGTCAATATATGTTAGAGAAACAAATGAAATGAAATGTACCACCCAGACTCATGGCTTCATTTGTGGGCTGGCTAGTCTTAGATGCTGTTTTTTGGATTCTTATTTGGCCAAGATAACTCAGGGAAACGTGGAACTGCTTTCTGCATCTAAGCAGGTACCATACCAGGACCAATGATAAACAAAGCAAGTTCAAACAGGTCTCCATTTTCATTTTGTAAAGTGCCCTTTGGATATTTTCATGGTTCAGCTTTCTGAGTAACTGAACTGTCATCTAGCTTAGAGGCAATAATAATATTCAGGAAACACTCCTGAATTCAGAGTCCTAAGACCTGCACCTCAGTCTCAGCTTTACCGCTTCTTACCTACATCAATTGGGAAAATGGCCTCATTTGTTTGAGCCTGATTTTTCATCTACAAAATGGGTATATGCCTATATTCCTATTTCCTACTTATCTTACAAGCATGTTGAGGAAAGCACTCTAAAGCATTATACAAATATAAGGAACAAATATTGCTTTTAATATTATTTTTGCTTTAGCAACCATTTGGTAAAATATCAGGAATTTAAAATTTTTTACTTTGGAAAATTGTAAACATATACAGAATTAGAAAGACTAGTATAATGAACTGTGTGCCCATCACTAGCTTTAACAATTGTCAACTCAAGGTCAATTCTGTGTCATCTATACCCCCACCTACTACTCTTTCCCACCCCAGATTACTTCTGAAGCAAACATCGGACATTGTATCATTTCATTTGTAAGTATTTTAGTATGTATCTCTAAAAGATAAGAACTCTTTATTTTAAACATAATTGCAATACCAGTACTATACTGGAAAAAAAAAATCACTTAACAATAACCAATATCTAATCAGTGTTCCAGTTTCCTTGATTATCTTATACTTTTCTTCACAGTTTGTTTATTTGAATCATGATCTAAATAAGGTCCATATATTGCAATTGGTTAGTGTCATGGATTGAATTGTGTCCCCCCAAAATATGTGTCAACTTGCCTGAGCTGTGAGTCTCAGTGGTTTGGCAGTTACATAATGATGTAATGATGTGATCTGGCGTGATCAGCCAATCAATTGTAAAGGATTAGGGTGGGGTGCAATACCCTTACTCAGGTCACAGCCCTGATCTGATGTAAGGGGAGTTTCCCTGGAGGTGTGGCCTGTGTCACCTTGTCTCTTACAAGAGATAAAAGAAGGGAGAAGTGAGCAGAGAGGAACTTCCTACCACCAAGAAAGATGAGTCAGGAACATCCTTTGGACCCTGGGTCCCTGGGCTAAGAACCTCCTAGACCCAGGGGAAGACTGAGACGAGAACCTTCCCCTAGAGCCAACAGAGAGAGAGAAAGCCTTCTCCTGGAGCTAGCACCCTGAATTCGGATTTCTAGCCTCCTAAACTGTGAGAGAGTAAGTTTCGGCTTGTTAAAGCCATCCACTTGTGGTATTTCTGTTATAGCAGCACTAGATAACTAAAACAGTAGTTATGTCTTTTAAGTCTTTTAATCTATAGGTTTTTCTCCATACTCGAGAAAAATACTTTTTTTCAAAATATACTTTTAGGAGACAAGGATAAAGTCTGACCACATTAAACCTTTTTACTGGGAATTAAATGGGGTAAAATAAGTGATTAGACTATAATTAGATTCTTTCTTGTGATGATAATATCAACCATCATTTGTGTGTCAGGAACTGTGCTAGGCATTTTAATAGTAATAATAACTTCCATTTATTGTTGCTCACTTCATACTAGACAAAATGTGATCAATGTTTTCACAAATTAACTTTAATCCTTTTTACATTTTGAGATAAGTTCCCCTCCTCCTTTGCTTTAGAGATGAGGAAGTTAAGTGACTTACCCAAGGTTAAAACCTGTTGTCGGGGAGTCGATTCTGACTCAGGGCCACCCTGTGTGTTACAGGATAGAACGGAGCTCCATAAGGTTTTCTTGGTTGTAATCTTTACAGAAGCAGATCACCAGACCTTTCTTTTGAGGTGCTGCTGGGTGGTTTGAACTGCCAGCCTTTCAGTTAGCAGCCAAGCACAAACTGTGCCACCCAGGAACCTTTACTCAAGGTTACAGATATCTAGTAAATGGGAGAGCCAGCATATGAGCTTAAATTACTTTGACTGCAGAATGTGTTTTGTACAAACTCTGCCATGCCAAATGTTTTCTCCTCAGATGTCAATTACCTTTGCAAGGGAGTAAAGACTTTTCTTTCTTTTGGCAGCTGGCGATTTGCATTTTACTTAATGTTGACTGTGGCTGGAATTGCATTTCTTTATGATGTAAGTTGTCTTTGTGATATCTTTGATTGGAAGTTGTCTTTAAATTTTAAAATCTTGCCTGTGATTTGCTTTAGAATATAATACTTTCAATAAGTGCTACCCAGGCTCCTTAACCTGAGCTTACTCATCCCTATTCACCTGTCACTTGTCTCCTTCCTTTAGTTTGTTTATAGTGAATGTAATTATATATTTGAGTTTAAACCTACCATCCTACTATTTATTTTCTAATTATACCACTTGTTGCCTGGGAATTGCTTTAGGATATAATATTTTCAATAAGATAACCAGCTTTTAGAGATTTCTCTCAAGATTTTTATATTTTATTGCTACAGAAGCAGTAATCTAATTGGCTCAAAAATAATTTTGTTACTAGATTCACTTGTTTGAAACAATTTCCTTCTTGAGGCAGCACTGTTTAGTGATTTCAGATTCATTAGAAGTAGTGACTTTCACATAAGTGTTGTATAGGAATACATAGAAATATCTTCACAGGAATAAATATATGGAACTGTAGCAGCAGGGATATTGCAAAAGTGTGTATTACTGTGCATCTTTGCCCCTTATAAATGTCATCAAGAAGAGTTTATATTATGTGCTGAAATCAGCCTTTGACCCTGACAAACTTATTTCTTCTCTTTGTATTTTCAGAAACCTTGGCTATATGACCTTTGGGAGGTCTGGAATGGCTATCCCAGACAGGTAAGTCCCCTATGATGTGGTCCCTTCCTTTCTTCAGCACCCGAACCAAAACTGTTGCCTTGAGTAGATTCTGACTCATAGCGACCCTATAGGACATAATAGACCTGTCCCATTAGGTTTCCAAGGCTGTAATCTTTACGGGAGCAGACTCCCATGGAGTAGCTGGTAGGTTCAAACCAACAACCTTTCGGTTAGCAGCCGAGTGCTTAACCACTGCACCACTGGGGCTTCAGCACTCAGGCCCCTCACATTGTCCCCTGAATTAAACTTAGTCTCTTTCCTACTCTCTGTCCACTTCTATGCAATCCTTTCACTCTTTCCCCACCTGAGTTTGTTGTTAGCTGCTGTCGAGTTGGCCTCCACTCATGACGATCCCACGCGTTACAGAGTAGAACTATGCTCCATAGGGTTTTCTTGGCTGTAATCTTTACGGAAGCAGTTTGGAAGGCCTTTGCTGCAGTGCCACTGGGTGGGTTCAAAGTGCCAGCCTTTAGGTTAGCAGCCTGTCACAACCACTTGTGCCACCCAGGCTCTTAACCTGGGCTTACTCATTTCTCATTCCCTTAGTTTGTTTATAGTGAATGTAATTTCACATTTGAGTTTAAACTACGATTTTATTATTTATTTTCTATTTATACCACCTGTTGCATTTCCTTTTTTTTCCAGCTCCCTTTTTGTCTTCTTATTGGAGAGTCAAGTTTTCTTAAATTAATATTCTATTTCTTTCTTTTATTAGTTTACCAGTCATGCATTTTTATTCTTTTGGTACTTTTCTTAGAGATTACTGTATGCATTCTTGATTTATTAGAGTCTAATGCAAATTAGTATTCTTACTATTTTCAGACACTGAAAGATAGTTAAAATATTCCAATATACCCTTATCTTACTTCCTCCCTGAAATATTTAAAACCTTGTAAGTCATTATTATTATCGTTTTGTAAATCAGTCAATTTACCCTTTCCATGCTGTTGCCTCCTTTCTGCATTTCTTCCTACATTTCAGAAGGATTTTTATCCTTCTGGAGCCCTGGCTGCAAAGTGGTTAAGAGTTTGGCAGTTAACCAAAAGGTCAGCAATTCAAATACACCAGCTGCTCCTTGGAAACCCTATGGAGAAGTTCTACTCATCCTATAAGGCCGCTACGAGTCAGAATTGACTCGACGGCAACGAGTTTTTATCCTCCTGCCTGAAGAAATTCCTTTAGTATTTTTTAAATGGCACTTCTGCCAATTTTTGTTTGAACATGTCATCATGTGCCTTCATTGTTTTAAAGGATATTTATACTGGGTATAAAACTCTAGGTCAGCAGCTATTTTCCTTCGGCACTTTAAAGTGCCTCCATCGGTTCCTTTAAGAATTCAGCTGTCATTCTTATTTCTGCTTCTTTGTGAATGTAATATCTTTTTTTTTCCTCCTCTGTCTGATTTTAATATTTTCTCTTTGTCTTTCAGCAGTTTGATTATGATACGCATACATGTGGTTTTCTTTGAGTTTATCTGCTTAGGGTTCATAATACTTCTTGAATCTGTGGCTTTATGTCTTTAATCAGTTTTGGAGAATTCTCAGCCATTGCTTCTGTCCCATTCTTTCCCTCTGGGATTACAATTACAACTACGCTAGTGTGCTAGACTTTTATACTAGATCCCATATGCCTCTCATACTCTTTTCAATACTTTCCATCTGCTTGCCTCTCTGTGCTTCAGTCTATTGGGAGACAGTTATCCGTGAGTCTCTTGCATTTATGCACAGCTTGTGAAGTGAGGCACTGACTACCTTTTGTTCTGTACTGTCTTTTTAAGGATGTTTGAAGAGCATACAGCCTTGGAAGATAGAGATAATGTCTTCCTCTGGAGCAAAGGGCAGACATGTTATTGCCCACTATAAAAGATTCAGGTCTGGTAGCTCAGGGTTCCTCTCTTGTAAAGCAACCCACTGCATGTACAAGTATCATCTAACCTATTTGCTTCACCCTATGGCGATTGGGGATTGGAGAACTGGCCTAAATACTGATACTCCAGCTACTCCAATTACTGTGAGTAGTAAACGATCCTTTATTTCTGACCCAGGACTATCCTATCTTCTACCATCACACATGAAACTGTGGCCGGCCAGCTTATTAGCTTGCAAGTAGGGTAAAATCTCAGACACTTCACAGTTCTGGATATTTTGTATTGACATGTCTTCCAGTTTACTAGTGCTTTTTTTCAACTGTATCTATATGTTATTAAACACATCTTTTTACTTCTTAATTTCAGTTATTGTATTTTTCAGTTCTCAAATTTTAATTCTTTTTTATGGATTCCAGTTAGCTACCAGAAATTTCCATCTTTTAATCTATTTTTTTAAGTTATTTTAAAGTGCAAGTCTGATAAATCCAGTATCTTGATCACTTGTGAGTCTGTTTTCTTTCTTGTTCCTGTCTCCTTGTGTTTGATAACTTTTGAATAACGCATGTTGTGTATAAAAAATTGTAGATGCTGAGAATACTGTTATCTTCCTCCCAAGAGGATTTACTTTTACTTCTATTAGGCAGTTAGAGTAGGGGCAGATCACCTTAATCCAATTTATGATTGAACTGCTTCAATGTGGGCACGGGGTTTGTGAAGGTAGATCTATTTCCAATTTACTCATGTTCCTAGGGTGTCCTCATTCAGTAGTTTTAAATAAAATATTAGAGCATTTACCAGGGTTCCTTTTCCTTGGCTCATCCTGAACTTTGTAGCTCTATGCTTCCTAGCATTAGAGACTGCCAAAAGTTCTGCTTAACTTCAATTTCTTAGCCTCTGGGCTTCATGTTGCTTATAAATTGGCCAATGCAGAATTTATGATATATTTAAGTATGGTTTTCTTTGAGTTTATCCACTTAGAGTTCATAGTACTTCCTCAATAAAGTGTTAACTAGAAATAAAGGGTTCACTTTAATGCATTTTTTTTTCTTTTGGGGGTCTTGACTCCAAAGGTTCTGGATGCCTTGATTGCTCTCTAATGCCTTCAAACAGACTGGGGGAAAAAAAAAAAAAACCTCTATCCATTTTTTTGTTTGTTCTCACAAAGCGGGTTAGTCTTTTTCTTAATTTTTTCCCATACAAATATTGACTGCAATTGCTCTCCCTATACTGTGTGTGACAGCACACTCCTCCTTTCCACCCGATTCCCCATGTCCATTCAACCAGCTCCTAATCCTCTCTGCCTTCCCATATCACCTCTGGATGGAAGCTGCCCATTTAGTCTCTTGTATCTACTTGAGCTAAGCGGCAAAGCATGGTCCCCAGACCCCTACCCCTGCTACTCTGTCTCTCAAAGTGTTTGATCGTATTCAGGAAACTTCTTAGCTTTGGTTTAGTCCAGTTGTGCTGACTTCCCCTGTAGTGTGTGCTGTCCTTCCGTTCACCTAAGGTAATTCTTATCTACTATCTAGTTAGTAAATAACCCCCACCCTCCCTCCACACCCTCATAACCATCAAAGAATGTTTTCTTCTGTGTTTAAACCTTTTCTTGAGTTCTTATAATAGTGGTCTTATACAATATTTGTCGTCCTGTGACTGACTAAATTCACTCAGCATGATGACCTCCAGCTTCCTCCATGTTATGTTTCACGGCTTCATAGTTGTTCTTTATCATTGTGTGGATATACCATAATTTGTTTATCCATTTGTCTCTTGATGGGCACCTAGGTTGTTTCCATCTTTTTGCTATTATGAAAGTGTTCCAATGAACATGGGTTGTGCATAAATCTATTCGTGTGACGGCTCTTATTTCTCTAGGATATATTCCAAGGAGCAGGACAGCTGGATTGTATGGTACTTCTATTTCTAGCTTTTTAAGGAAGCGCCAAATTGATTTCGAAAGTGATTGTACCAATTTACCTTCCCACCAACAGTGTATAAGTGTTCCAGTCTCTCCACAACCTCTCCAGCATTTATTATTTTGTGTTTTTTGGATTAACGCTAGCCTTGTCGGGGTGAGATGATATCTCATTGTAGTTTTGATCTGCATTTCTCTAAAGGCTGTTGATTGTGAGCGTTTCTTCATGTGTCTGTTAGCTGCCTGAATATCTTCTTTGGCGAAGTGCCTGTTCATAATCCTTTGCCCATTTATTAATTGGGTTATTTGTCTTTTTGTTGTTGAGGTTTTGCAGTATCTTGTAGATTTTAAAGATTAGACACTGATTGGATTTGTCATAACTAAAAGTTTTTTCCCAGTCTGTAGGTTGTCTTTTTACTCTTTTGGTGAAGTATTTCGATGAGCATAAGAGTTTGATTTTTAGGGGCTCCCATATATCTAGTCTCTCTTCTGGTGCTTGTGCATTATTACTTATGCTTCGTATTGTGTTTATGCCATGAATTAGGGCTCCTAGTGTTGTCCCTATTTTTTATTCCATGATCTTTATCATTTTGATTTTATATTTAAGTCTTTGATCCATTTTGAGTTAGTTTTTGTGCATGGTGTGAGGTATGGGTCTTGTTTCAGTCTTTTGCAGATGGATATCCAGTTATGCCAGCACCACTTGTTGAAGAGACTATCTTTTCCCCAGTTAATGGACTTTGGACCTTTGTCAAATATCAGCCGCTCATAGGTGGAGGAATTTATGTCTGGCTTCTCAATTCTGTTCCATTGGTCTATGTATCTGTTGTTGTACCAGTACCAGGTTGTTTTGACTACCTTGGCGGTATAATAGGTTCTAAAATCAGGTAGTGTGAAGCCTCCCACTTTGTTCTTCTTCTTGAGTAATGCTTTACTTATTTGGGGCCTCTTCCCTTTCCCTATGAAGTTGGTGATTTGTTTCTCCATCTCATTAAAAAATGCTGGTGGAATTTGGATTGGGATTGCATTGTATCTGTAAATTGCTTTGGGTAGAACTGACATTTTCACAATGTTGAGTCTACCTATCCATGAGCAAGGTATGTTTTTCCGCTTGTGCAGGTCTTTTTGGTTTCTTGCAGTAGTGTCTTGTAGTTTTCATCGTATAGGTCTTTTATGTCTCTGGTTTGATTTATTCCA